GCGACAAAATGGGTGATCGGCCTCCGCAACAAATCATATGAGGAGAGACTGAAGAAATTAAGTCTTTTCACACTTAGTTACCGTAGTCACAGGGGAGACCTCATCACCGTCTATAAGATCCTAAATGACCAGGCCCATCCTAACAAGAGCATCCTGCCATTAAGTGATTATAGGCTTCCACGAGGTAACCCGCTAAGGATAGCACACCAGAGACCAAGGACTCGAGTGCGTTCACATTTCTTCTCGCTTCGAGTTTGCCGTCTCTGGAACGCTTTACCGGCGGCCGTAACTACAGCTCCATCTGTGGAGATTTTTAAGCGGAAGCTGGACAATCATGCAGAAATGCATGGTTTGTGTCTCAATGGCTTACCCTCTTAAAATTTGAAACCACATTGTCAATGGACAAGCATACAAGCTAAATCTTCACGACCCGTCCTGTCTTCTCCCACTGTACCGACTACTCTATCTTTCTTTCTTTATCTTTCTTTCTTTATTATTTCACTTATCTCAACCTATATTATCTACACTACAACCTATTATTATCATTATCATTATTATTATTATTACTCTACTTTTATGTCTATACCGAATGACCGACGGGTGTTAGGTCAAACTCCATTCACGGCAGCAGCTGAGTCCTGACATACTGCACACTACAAACCACAATCTTGACCAATCCTCGCATCACTCCTCCTGGAGTCTACCAGAGCTAAAGCAGTCGAGTGGCGGGATTTACTACGCATAAGTTCACCGAAGATCTGGAACCTCTACCTTAAAATCAAGAAGCGAGCTCAAAGAAATCACTGGTTTATACTAGCTCGTAATCAGGATATTGGATATTGGATCTCCAATTTAGAGGAGTGGTGAAATGCCGAAGATCATTTATGAAGATCAGGAATAACAAAGACCTCCTTGTGATATGCATGTGATGAATATTCATTGTGTAAACGGTTTATCTCCGTGAAGGATTTCCCATCCCCCATGCAGACTACATGCGAAGGCAACAGTAGTCTGCTATTCCCTCATATGCAGACTTCCCAGAGAAGGACTTCATGAGACTTTCGAACTACGTGAAAGTTCCCCAACTACTCACTAGGATATTAATGGAGAAATCGAAACTAATTCTGTAGATGCGTTCAGCTGGGCGACTGTAAGTGACGTGGCTTTGAGACCTGTTTTCGATTCTCTTCTTATTTCTCAGTCGTCCCATAGTCTCTTTACTGAATTTATATGAGTCTCTTTAGCTGGATGTATGTCACTGACTGGCTAGTTTAAGAATGAATACGACCGTATGACGATACCCTTTTTGGCAGGTACAGTTCTAACAGTGTGTGGAGTACGTAACCATGTGACTGTACACTTTTTGTTTAGATGTTGAAATTAGAAACACTGTACATGACTCTTGTTTAAAACGATTTATGTTTAAATACATATAACTTCCGAGTGGATCTTGAAATACACGATACTGTTGGTAGCTCCGCCTTCTCTCTGGCCATTTCTGTCTACTCACCCAACTCAAACCGTGTTGTATACTTTGGATTTATTGCAGGAACCTATTATCCTTATCCGAAGACAAATCTACAACCGGAACACAGCTTCTATCAGTAGACACGATTCCAACAGTCAAAGTTTCTGTGGATTATATAAATAATTTGTAGCAGTGGACTTTAACAACATATCCAAGTAACCTATTAATTAATATAACTCATTACTGCATTTTGATAATATATTGTTGCATTGTACTCTCATGGACTTGGATTTTTATTCGCATATTTGTTATGTTAATGAACTGGCTCTAGACAGTTCCCTACAAGTGTGCTTTGATGTCCAGTAGTTCCCTAGATACAAACTCTGACTTAGTGGTTCCTTCGGTGTTTGAAGAAATGTTCATGAGAAACGATGTGAGCATTGACTTACAAACTATTATGCTCTCTAGTTCGCAATAGTTAGTGTACGGAAATATGTGTTTATCAGTAGCTCCACTTAAGTACTCAGTTGTCACGCTACCTCGACAAGAAAGAATTCTAATACCTCCAGTCATTCCTAAATACAGACAAACTGAAGTACTGCGTTTTCACCAGAATAAACAGGCACTTCCCTTGAAGCCAACAAGTGACTCGAGTTGAGTGGCAGGATACGCGAAACTCACTTGATAAATGTGGTTGCCTGAGTCCAACACGACTGCCGCGTTCGCTATATGGATCTGCAATCTTTGGACCCTCGCTAAAATCCCCTGCTGCCGATGCTCAAAATATTGCTAAGTATTCGGAGCTAACTATCATTATATTATGTTCTTTTCACGTCAACCAACTTTTCGCCACTGAAAATAACTGTTTTACTTCTTCTGAAATTCTCAATTTGCAGGCCAGCTTCTACTAATAATTCTAACTACTTTAATTTTTTCATTCGACTAATTCCTTAGTGATTTTCTTATTTCATACATCTGATTCCCTTGATAAAGTTCGATTAAGAAAGGAAGACGAAATTTGAAGTATATGACGATATCATTCGATCTCACAGGTTCTCATCAGCTGCGTCTACAATTACATTCCGACATTGCTAAGGACAGGGATACGAAATCACTCAGTATAAATACTACAGATATCATGACTTATCATCATTAATTGCTATTACGTCTCTTCTCACTACACTTCCAGAAGTAAAAAATATAATCCTCAGGAATAAAGAAGTACGGGTCATTTGGCCACCATATAACCCAGGAGAAATAGCCTAACTTTTAAAGAGTAGGTTAACAAACTCCAAAACAGCCTTTCCAAAAATAATATACTTAGACGGCGTTGCTGACGCGAATGCAGAGGTGATATGTGAACTGTTTAGAAAGAACTTTGCCAGACTATACACCTAGGAGAATGATCGGGTCGTGGATTTCCCAAGTAAAAAAGACAATTATCAAAGTGACATACTTTTCACCATAAAAGAGATCGATAAAGCTATCTCAAACCTTAAACATAGTAACACTCCTGGTCCAGACGGTATGCCTTCTATTCTGCAGGAAAACGGTGGTAATGACATGAATTTAATAATATATTTATTCCTATTTATGTAGGACATACCAGTTTCACAGGCATGCCTAAGTATTATTTAAATTACATGAATTTGATTTATGGTGAAATTACATGGTTGCTGTCTTTTTGACATTAGTTTGTGGGTACAATCTGCCAACTAGTCATTCAATGGAGCACATAAAGAAATATAGAAATATTATCTTCACATTAACAAAAAACCCAAGTATGTGTTGGATGGATTACAAATATTTGGGAAAAAATAAAGCTTGAAGTCAATTCCTCCATATAACTTTGTTGTGTGCAGCATCGTATCTTGTTCTTGATTTATATCCAAATTGGGTATTAATTCAAAATAAGTGATTTATTTGTATAATTCTGTCTGGATTTCCATCGTAATAAGTAACATTAGAAGTGAATTGTACTGAATGCAGATTAATATTGATTATTGTCAGGCAGATTTGTTTTACTGCGCCCACGTCAGTAGAAACTCCTACTCATGTTATAATCAATTTCACTATGCGATGGGACATACGCT